ATAAGTGGAGTGTTTCAGCCGATATTAATCCGATACTGCTGTTCAATGAATCAGCCGTGTGCCTTTTCATCTGATTGAAGGCATATAGATTGATATAAACATTGTTAACAAAGGGCAACAAATTAACAGAGATTTAAAGGTAATTCATATTATTTATCAACAAAGAAAGTGCAAATATTTTTTGTCACAGTATATCTATCATAGCTGTAAAAAAGATTTTTAAAATCCAAATAAAACTGGGTTTATACAGGAATGAGGAACTCTAATTTAATGCTTTTTAATGCTCTTTTAATTCTCTTAGAAATAATTTTAATGCCATAAACAAGTACTCATGACTCTCAATTATTATATATATATATATATATATATATATATATATATAAAACACGGCACAATCCTTTGTCATCTTTACCATCGACTGGCTGTAGCCATGTCCTGAATTCCTCGTTTTTCAGCCACTTTTGATTGAAATTAGCATTTTCTCATTTTCTAGCTTGTTCTCCTCCTCCAGCTTCTTTTCCGAACATACGATTAACCGGAAGCAGATCAGCGCAAACACACGGAACCAGTTATATCTCATATATCTGAAGAAATTGCTTTTATGAAAGTTTTCTTTTTTTTTTTTTTTTTTCATCAAAGCATTTTAAATGCCATGATAGTCACATTTAATGAATTTCAATGCCAATTAAGGCCTTAATTAAAAAATAATAATTTAATGACTTTTAATGACCCGCGGAAACCCTGTAAAACCAGACATTGGCGTCATGGTTACCATTAGATTTCTATAATTTCTTTCAGTATAGATAGCTTATTTGTTTAATAAAAACATGATATATTTTCTTTTATATTGAACTTTGTTGAAATATTTTTTTATGGCACTTAAGGTCTTACAAATTTAAAAATATGTAAGACATAGAATACATAGAATACAGAGGGAATCTGAAGTTGCACCCTCTAGCGGTCTCTTTGGAAAATAATTGAAATGTTTGAGCCTAGAGTCTAACAAGGGTTAAACCCCACCTATACTTCCCCGCAGAGCAAATGGTTAAATCAGCCCTGTTGCATCTTTCAAAGCAGCACAGCAGGAGGAAAGCAGCCAAAATGGAGTGTGCAGGAACTCTTTAATTTGTTATGGGGCTGAGGGGGAGTGAAATCAATGATTCAACTATCTTATCTGGCCCTGTGATACGCATCTTGTAAATACATTCTCACTTTCTCGCCCCCCCTCTACGCAGCTCCCCTCTCAATCTCTTCGGCACTTTGCTGTTATCATGGCGATCAATAGCGAGGTGATTAATATTCTTCTAGCACAGCCCACACGTACACACACGCTGACCTCCCTCATCAAGTAACTAAAGAAACGCACAACACACAAACAAAGCACACACTTGCAATATAGGTACAGAACGAGGGGCGGTGAGGTGCAGCGCTGATAACCTGCAGTTACAAGGTTAATGTGTGGTAGTACACATGCTCCATGTCAAGCAGGAGCATCACAGTCCCAACACTCCCGCTTCATTGTGTGCAGAGGTAAACAAAGTACCTTCTTCTGCTCATGAACCATGCAGTTTAAGCAAAAAGTCATAATATAGACAAAGACTTCTTTGTTGTAAGTTTAATGACCTAAAAAAAAAAAAATAACTTAATTAATGCATGGATACATTTACAAAAAAGCAAGAATACTTCTTTTCTAGAAAGTAATTTTAAACCAAAAGACTATCAGTCCTGCAATAAAAACACAAAAAATGATATTTATGTCTATTGCATATACGATACTGCATTCTATAGCATAGATTCCTTACATGCTCAAATTTCACCAGTCTATTGAGAAAATCCATAAACGATGTTGGCAGCAGTGCACGATGGTGCAGTCGGTATCATGGCTGCTTTGCAGCAAGAAGGATTCCAGCGTTTTGCATGTTCTCCCAGTGCCGTTTGGTGTAAGTTTACGCATTATTTGTGGTCTGTCTTGTAAGTAAGGCTGGGCTATGTGGACCAAAATTATCTTATTATTCTTAATTTGAGTGACGAGTCACAATATTTATCTCTGTTTTCTTTTTTTCTTCATAAAGTACATAAAGAATGGCATCTCTAAATCAAAGCTTTGCTCTAAAAGTCACAAAGTGCAATATAAGATATATATATATATATATATATATATATATATATATATATATATATATATATATATATATATATATATATATATAAAAAACTTCTTATTTGTCACTGCAATATTTATGCACTGCATCAAATGTAGGAGGTATAGACAATAGATTGATTGATGTCTATAAACAAAGTTATTAACCAATACAAAGAAATTAAACCACTAAGTATAAGATTGAAGTTACAGTTTCAGAATTTAGCCTTGAAAAAACTTTTTTTTTTTTGTGGTTAAAAATAAGGTTGCTGAACAATGCATTCATTCAGTTCTCTGGAGAGTGGGCAGAAGGGAAATTTGAGCACTTTGAAGAGTAATTAATAGATATTAGAGAAATTTCATATTACTTCTTTTTTTTTATCAACAACTATGCTCTATTGGGGACATATGGTTGTAAATCCCTCAATATTCATGAGATGGTTTATCGCTGAAGCTCTGCAGAAGGAGAGATCATGGCTGGAAATCCTTTTTTTCAGGTCCTGACATAAACTCCATCACAACATCTACTTGATAGGCCCTTAAAGGTTAAAAAAAAAGACTATAAACATTATCTAGATGTGCTATAGATTTGTTTTTATTCTATTAATAATAAACAGTTAAACTCAGGTCCAGTGCAGGTTGTATGCAAATTGAATTAAAATAAAAATGTTTACTTTTTCTTTCATTTCATGGAATAAATTATTCATCTGCCTAACTCTTAAGAGGCAGTACCACTAGTTGTCAACAAAATAATGAGTGTCTGTTGAAGGGAGTAAAATTTTCCACCACACTGGGAGTAAAGACAAGATAAGTGATGTGATTTTATTACTGCCATCCACTGGTCCTAAGGTGAAGTGCAGTTTTTCTCATCCTGAATGAAATCAAAGTCCCGGGGCCTTTAACAGTAATGGGACCAGCTTGCTTCACAGGGATCCTTATTTCTTTGGTAAAACAAATCCTGGGCCTTTAAATTCCAGGGCTTTCAATGGAAAAGGGGCTATTGTTGCTCCAAAAGTCCCTCTCCGCCTCTTTCTCCTGTTCTAACGCATTTTGGCTAAGAACATTTTGACTAATCCACTTGAAGCTTCGGTATCCTTCAGCTTGCCTACAAAATCATGAGATGATTTTCAAAATTGATCAGACTGAAGTCCCCCGATCTGATTTAATCAAATACTGGGATGTTATTGTTCAAAAAGCTTAACAGGTTTCCGGGGAAACAGGAAGTTTTCCATGCCAAAAAATTATGTTTTTTTTAAATTGAATAAAAGATACATTGAGTTGCAAACTCACTGACAAAAATGGTTTCACTTACCTTTTGATTTAACAGGATTTCAGTCCAGGACCAAGTAGTCAATATTTTAACAAGGAGAAGTATAGTGGAAGATAAATCTACAGTTTCTAACACTTATTTATCAATGTGGTATTTTTTCTATTTCTTCAACTAACGTTTTTTTTTTAATCTTTTATTCCAATTTCAGATAGTGCTATTGTCATTAATCTATTTCTATTTATGCTTTTTACATTTCTTTTCCAATTGTATTAATGGTTTTGAAGGGCACTGGCTCAGATAAATTAAAATATTAATAAGAACACCATTAATGCCTCTTAAAAATAAGGAAAAAAAAACAAAAAAACAAACAGAGTCCTTACAGAAAGTATTATTGCTAAACTTTGTTAATGGTAAAAAAAATTGCATTTAAGACCATTCTTGTCAACGATGCTGCTATTATCCTTACTGTTGAATTAATTAGCCAAACAACTCTATACTTATATGAGTTTTTTTTTTTTATTTATTCTTTATAACTGGTTTTGAAAAGAGATGGAGTGGCATTCATAACACCTGAATTAAACTGGAACATATTTATTGCTAAATAAATATGTTAATAAATAAATAAAAGCAGATAGAAATAAACACTTATGTGAAAACAATGCACAGGGTTTATACAGGAATGATTTAATGGAATGATGATTAATTTAAGGATTTTTAATGCTCTTTTAATGCTCTTAGAAAGGATTTTAATTCCATCAACAAGTAAATATGACTCATATATATATAGATGATGGAGGATATATATATAATCCTCCATCATCTTTACTGTAGACAGACTGCAGCCATGTCCTGAATTCCTCGTTTTCCAGCCACTTTTGTTGAAATTAGCATTTTCCGAACATATTTCTTCACGATCAACCAGAGGCAGTTCTGCAGCAACACACGGAACCAGTTATATCTGATTTAATAGATCTTACGAAATTGTCTTTTTTAAATAAAGCATTTTAAATACCATGATAATCTCATAATCCATTATTTTAATGCCAATTAAGGACTTCATTTATAAAATAAGAATTGAATGACTTTTAATGACCCGCGGAAATCCTGATGCAAACGAATAACAGAGAAAGGTGTTTTGAAACACGATCAGCATGATGAGTATAACCAAACATATTTCTGTGTACAGTTCTTAAATATCCTGTCATGGAAATACCCACTGCAACCATTAAGCTCTGAGAGTCTAACTTACATGACTAATTTCTGTCAGATTTAAAAGTGTCCTGCTCAAACATCTGACTGGCTTTAAATCAGGGAATAACAGACAGTTCCTGTGCAGGAAACCGTGCCTCAACACTGAGTGGCAAGGAATTAAAAATCTGATGCTCTAAAATGTTCACCATCTGAGCCTCTAAATCAAACTGTAGTGTTTTTCATGAGCCAATTCCAAACACTTTGTAAAAAAAAAATGTTCAGAGACAGATCTACAACTATTTATTTCAAGTATTTGAAATAAAGTAACTGAGCCACATGTGTAATGCTTTAATGGAATTTTTCCCATCATTCAGACCAGCCTCTAGCAATGAATCTCACCTCATAGTGCGCAAATCCCAGCCTCGAATGCTGGTGTCGTTTGCCGTGGCGAGCTGGCTGCAGTTGTGGTGCGGGCTCCATTTGCCAGAGGTGAACTTCAACTGACCTTTACCCTCAAGGGTGGCAGTGCTGGAGACCTGCAGCAAACCGGAAGACCTTTTATTAACTTGTCAATGCATGCATTGGAGTTTTTTTTAAATACCTGTGACAGGCCCAGAGGACCAGTGTACCGACACAGAATACTAATCATATGATGGAGCTTTCTGTCTGGGCTTTATTTACATCTAAAATAGTTATTATTTTAGTTTTCTTAAACAACTTTTAAAGCTGATGCTACTTTATTTATGAGTTTAAGAGTAACTAATTAGTCTTGGAGTAAATTACTGAAAAATACCCTATCATTTAATTTTTTTTTCATTCTTATTCAATATTCTAATTTCCCAGGAAAATGGATTTTGTGTCTTTAGTGTCTGCAGACTAAAAATATCAAAAACAACATCAGTAAAACATCTGATTTAAGGCTAGCTACAAGAGTGGACGGCTCAAGTAATTAACTAGAAAAATGACAGTTGTTTGACTCCTAATCTTACTCTACAGCATAATAATTGTAGTATTTTTACCCACATTCTGAGAAATTCATACCAGCATACGCTTATTTCTCACCTTGGTCTTTTGAAAGTTAAGTAACACATATATCTAATTAGGCACTATGGAAACTGTACACCCCCACTGGGTAGCCAATCTTTGATCGACTTACTTTATTTTACTCTAATGAGAAACTGGATTCATATAATAATTGGTCTAATTTCCAATAAAAAGCTACAACTGCAGATAAGAGCTTTTTTTTAACCAGGTAAAATTGCTGGGCTGTGGCCAACCAGAGTGTAAAATGTTATTCTGATGTTTAAAATACAAAAGGACCCATTTTTATGGAAATAAATATACTTCATTACCATCACTTACGTTATTCAATATAGATATTTTAGAAATTCTATTTTTATCTTCCTTTTATAACTGTGCTATTTCAAAGCAGAACCTCTGCATTATGACCTACTGGCCTGCAGTTCGCTTACAGGGAGAATCGTTTCGCAGAGGATGCCGTCTAATTAGCGCTTCACACAGCGCTGACTCATCTGCAGCATCCTTACACCTATGTTAGCATGCTATTTGTGGACTTCAGCTCATCCTCCAACTCCATCCCTCTGGAGATGCTGCCTGAAGCCTCACAGCCTGGGTTTATCTGCACCGCTTTGCTCCTGGATCAGTAACTCCATCACCAACCGGATCCATCGACCCAACTGTTTCTCAACACTGGCATGCTTTAAGGCTCTGTTCTCAAGCACACCTGTTTCCATCTCTTTACCTCAGATGTTCTGCTACTGTATCCACCCAACAATCACAATCATGGTTGTGAAGTCTTTTGATGAAAACAGTGTGGTAGGTCTCATTTCTGACATTTTTGACGACTACAAGGGGGAAGTCTCCAGGAAGAACCTTATTCTGAAAACCAGCAAGATCAAAGATGTCATAGTGGACTTAAAAAAGTTCAGAAAACTGAAAATCCTCCTCTCTGCATACAAGGCCAGGCATTCACATTTCCTTTGATCTCCCCGATACTGAGATAACACTTCCCACCTGGTGAAGAACACCCAACAAAGCCTCTTCTTCCTAATCAGGACTCTCCACTCACCTACTTGCAAACTTCTACAGGACCACAACTGAAAGTAACTCGGGCCTCCTCTTCAAAGTCTGATATTTTAGTCACATGTAACAGAAGGACTTATATCAGAAGAAGAGAGATAGACGCATTGCCACAAAGTTTTGTCATCCAGACAACATTAAATCAACAATAAAAAAACTTAAAAACAATTTCATCTGTGCTGTGAAAGCAATCACTGTCAAACACTCTTATCTCTTTAGACTGAACTAGCATAGCTACACTTTATGCACACACCACATACTAAATACCTCTGTACACTCAACATACTCTTTGCAACATTTATATGCAACATTTCATTCATTATGAGAGTTTATAATTTTTCCTTCTAAGAGTTTTTCATCTAATCTTTCTTCTAAGGGTGTTTAATATTTTATAATTTCCAACATGGCTCCAATTCTGGAAATGGGGGAGTGGTGACCTAGTGGTGAGGGCATAGGGCTTGGAATCCTGAAATTCAGGCTGCCCCAGTGCCACTGCACAGTGGCAGCCTGATGTCATAGATGAATAACAATAGTTCAGTGGGTGAAATTAACATACAAGTGCAAATCCCATCAACACCTCCTTTCTCTGCAAATCTCATTAAAAAAAATCTAAAATAAAAATCCGGGTGATAAAATCTTCTAATTGAATTGACGTCAATTCGGGGAGGTTGCCTTATTTGGTTCTGGCCTGTACTTTTGTCACGCCCCGAAATGGACATACAGACCAGCCCACTGATTAACTATCGTAAATACAGTGTTCCAGGCTGCACAGAGAAGGGGGGCTGCTGGGACTGCTGCAGGCGGGGGGGAAGCAATGGGCAACACCGTTGTCAAGGCTACCGTCACCTGGTCGGGTTCGGTCACTCCGTCCCCAGCTGTGTCCCTTTTTCGACTACAGTGCAGCACGTAGTTGACCAAAATCCCGGTCAACAATTTGATGTTTCAGTGAGTGAGTGCTTGTTGCTATGATGTGTCTTTGCTCAGCAGCTTCTCTCGTTGTAAACCAACCAATCAGTACAGCTCAACTAAATATTCATGAGCATACCATAGAAGGAAGAAAACGTTGTCTTATTCTAGGGCTCTTAACCAGGCTTGCATTAGGGCTCATAGAACAGCAAATATGCCAATTTCAGCCCCAACCACCAGCGGTCAAAATAATTTTTGACTGTGAGTTTGGTCCAGCCTCGATCAATGCCCCAGGCCCTAGAACCGGCGGGCCAATCACAAATTGAATTTTTGGATGCAAAGCGGGCGGGGTTTTGAGGGCGGGATGACAAAGCTGCGCAACGCTAGAGAAAAAACAACAAGGAAGGTGGCAACAACTATTGAACAGTTCTGGTTTGACTCAGCTTTGGAATCAGTTTTGGTCAGTCTTCCTGCTAACTTCCTGCTTGGATCAGTTTTGGTTTTGGTCAGTCTTCCTGCTGACATTTCGTTGAAGAGGCTCTACACTAATTAATTTTTAAGAAGGACGCATTCACCATTTTACCGACAGGCTGTTTGTTTACAGTAGGCTGTACTGATTCAAACAATCAGTACAGCTCAACTAAATATTCATTAGTATACCATAACAGGAAGAAAACCTCGTCTAATTCTAGGGCTCTTAACCAGGCTTGCATTAGGGCTCATAGAACAGCAAATATGCCAATTTCAGCCCAACCAGTGTTACACACCCCTTTAAAACACCCAAAGAATATTGGGTATTTTTGCCGTGGTTCTTTCTTAACAGTTAGTTTAGTAAAATTTTTAATTATACTGAACTAACGTATATCTGAGTTTAGGTCTCATAAAAACACCCTGAAAGGCATTCTCTACCAAAACTAAGCTTGACATTAGAAATGGTTTTAATTATGAAAGACACAAGTTTAATGTTAGCAGTAAAGAGACAGGTTTGATCTAATCTAGTTATAATTGATTAAGTTACTTTTTCAAAAAGGTCCCATGGCTTTTACTCAGTATTTCAGAGGGTAAAGATGTGTGGTAGAAGGAGGCTAACACTGCTGGAAAGTTTAAGTCATCCGTAGTTTCCTTTACATTTATTAGAATTTTACTTGTCAAATTATTTGTGATTTGCTCGGAATGATTTACACACAAGATTATTCATTTGAGAAAACATCTGCTGAGCTCTTAAGAACATTTAAGACCGATTACCAGATATTGTTTAATCATCGGGTAGATCGGTCAGAGACGGGAGTCAAAGTGGCATATTTACTGTTTCTCAAACAAACTGCAATATTTTTTCTAGATATTTTTTTCAAATATGAAAACAACAAAGTAAATCAAAGTCAAACTGCATAAAGCACTTCAGTGTATCAAGCATTTTTTTCTTGAAGAATGGAATCCAATTAATATAGAATGCTGGCTCTGGATATGTTTCCCTAAAACTTGTAATGCATCTAACAATTCCAAAAAGCACACCCACTCTGCTCCATTTTTCTCTGCTCCCTGACCATCTGCAGATTTTTATCCTCATCTTTCTCCCTTTCCCATTTCTCCAGCCCTCCCTCCTTCTCTCCCATCTCTGCCTGCTGGAGCAAAGATCATCGATCGGTCCGTCACCACACTGTTCCCTGGTACAATCTCATTATTTCAGCTAGGGAGGACAGAGGGGGAAGACGGCGAGAGGTCCATGGAGAAAGGGAGGAGAGAGACAGAGGGGATTAAAGCAAGAAGGATTAAAGGAATGAGAACAGAGCGGGTAACGAAGCAGAAAACAGGAAATAGACGTTTATCTGTTGTTAAGTTGGACTTTGCAGGGTTCCTAGATAAAAAAAAAAGCAGAAATCTTCTGATTCCACAATCAAAGAAAAAATACAGAAGTTCAGCAGTTAATATGTACAGTGGTCATTCTTCAAATATGAAACTTGCTTGCAGCTACAGTAGATGCGTGGATAGATAGAGCTAGGGATGGCTGGATCGAAGAAAAAGGAATGAGTGGATTAAAGCCGAACGGATGGATAGGTGGACCGAGGGACAGAAGGGTGGGTGGATGGACATATGGATTGATGGAGAAAGGAACGGGAAAGACAACGGGAAAGCAAAAAAACGGTTATAATTGAAACAAAAATTTTAAAAACACATTTTCCAAACTCAATACATTATTAATGAAAACACTGCCCACACAGGGTAAGAACCCAGAAAGAAATTGTATATCTCCACTCCTTTTGGGTTACTTTAGGTTTAATGCAAATCATTACAGGTTTTAGCTGCAGCAAAACCTTATCAATCCAAATTTTCAAAGACTAGATGGACTATTGATCAAAGTATGGTACATTACCATTCCAGTGGTCTGTGTCAAATAAATTCCAACACTTTCCAGATAAAGCAGGAATATGACATGGAGATCTGTAAAAAGGTCTGTAAATCCTGCTGTTTGGACTTGGAATGAGTGTGCCGCCACACAGAAGGGAAGATAGAGCTACAGCTAACACACAGA